AGATAGATAGATAGATAGATAGATAGATAGATAGATAGATAGATAGATAGATAGATAGATAGATAGACAGATCGATAGATCAATCGATCGATAGATAGATAGATAGATAAATAAATAAATATATTTTTAGGTAGACGGACAGACGGACAGACAGACAGATAGATAGATAGACCAATAGACAGACAGACAGACAGACAGACAAACAGACAAACATCTAGACACTGACCGCGAGAAGAAGGTATTGTTAGCTATAACCCCTATTTATCAGCATTTAGTTAATAACGTGAAACGTACAGCCACGCGCACCGCGACAACGCATGCGTAACACCATCGACAGCGGCGTGACATAACCAAACTGCCCAGAATCTATCAGCCTCTCTACGACACACACACACACAAGATGACCATTACTCTACATGATCGAGGTATGCGGAAGACGTGGGTGGGCACCCGAGCATCCGCATGGTCAAACTATAGACAGTATACGTCACGTCTTCATAAAGGACTCTGACATAACGTCATCGGGGCGGCGGCGGCGGCGGCGGCGGCTGTGCAGCGGTGCCTAACGCACTCGTGCGACGCGCCGTATATAAAGCGGACACGATACGCCGATCGTCACTTATATAGGTGTGTCCGTGTTTAGCTGTGAGCGTCGGCCGAGCCGTGTAGCATTATTACAACGGTCACAGGTATTCGCACAACGACAACCGCCGCGTCTTCACAATCAGGTAGATGTTTCGCTCAGCGCGCAATATAGTTGTAGTTAGTTGGGTTTCGTTTCAGAATTTTTGGCTTTAATGATTTGTAACCAGAGTTCATGTAATTATTTAGAACGCACGTGAACGAACGAAGCTTCGGCGAGTATAGATACGTCTTCTTGTGTTGACTTTGCAATTTTGTTTTTACTCTAGCGTTTGAAATGATTTCGGTCGGTTTTAAGCTTTTTCCTCATGCGATTTTGCTTGATAGTTTGAGAACTTAGGATCGTAGAACGTGGTGGTGAGTGTGAACGTAGGTGAGCGTGATTTTAGTGATGGTAATTCCTTCATTGACGCTGATGTCGATTGCTAGCTATGATCTAATCTAGTTCTAATAGCAAACGCTATTATTATTGCCTGTTCGCTCCACGTATTGTGAGTTTTTATTGATTTATTAATAACTTTGCTTTCATTGCATGAAAATATTATGTAAACCATAGAAGTCTACATTTAGAATTTCTTAGATATTATTATACTCTTAGTTATTAGGCATTCACGGTAAATCTTTAGCATTTCTTATTGAATCACATTGTTGTTATTCGACTTTTCGGCTTCGGTTCTTTCTGATTAGGGATTATTTACCTGAGCATAAGTCGCAGTCGACATATTTTCTTACGAAACCGCTTGCATTTCTACAAGCGGCAATTGTTGTAGTTAATCCTACGTTTTCCACGCGTTTTCCGCAAGAATCGAGTTAGCACGGATCTTTTAACACGGATAGTGCAAGTGAAGGTTCAGGGATCTTGTGCTAACGTGTGTGTGTGTGCGCGGCTTTACATATTTGATATAGGTATTAACAGGAGTAAGATAATAGGAGACGTCATATAATATAACTATTTACTATTCGTTTGCATGATCCCATTCTGCCGCTATCATGCGCGTATTTCATACGGCGAATGACACGCTTATTATTAGCAATTGACGAGTGTTAGCAATGGTAGCATATATCTACGGACGTTAGCAATGGTAGCATATATCTACGGGCGTTAGCAATAGTAGGATTCCTAAGGTATTATCAATACTAAGATATATCTACGGACGTTAGCAATGGTATCATATATCTACGGGCGTTAGCAATAGTAGGATTCCTAAGGTATTATCAATACTAAGATATATCTACGGACGTTAGCAATGGTATCATATATCTACGGGCGTTAGCAATAGTAGGATTCCTAAGGTATTATCAATACTAAGATATATCTACGGACGTTAGCAATGGTATCATATATCTACGGGCGTTAGCAATAGTAGGATTCCTAAGGTATTGGCCATCTTCAGCCACGATTAAAGCGGCCATCTTCAACACGTGAAGATATTACATACCTGCTACTGTACGCGTTTAGACCAATGAAAAACGAGCCGAAAACTCATAATTACGTGCGGTTTTACTAGTAGATCTGAATTATCTGAGACAGCTTTAGCAACAGGATGATTGCAAGCTTACACGCCAGCCCGTGATAGGGATTCGAAAGGCGATCCAGTGTTGCCGGTTGAGAGGAGAAGTGGCAGAAGTTCCGAACAGAATCAACACTCGCAAAATTACCCGTATGTTTTTTGCTTCAGTGACGCATTGCAGCCTAGGGGCCAGTGATTACACACTGGCCTAATGCTATTATTAGCGAGAGTATTTCATTATTGTAGGTTATTACCGACGCGCTGCAATTTTATAATCAGGGTTCACTCGCAATTTCGCCTCTACTAGTTTAACTAGGCACGAAGGGTTATGGTGTGAGCGCCAGCAGTATCGCTTCTCAACAATAATTCACACAGCTGTTGTTGTTTTTTCTCTACAGGTTGGTGAAATCAACATCGCGATGTTACCGCCGTCGAATGTGCTGATATGCTATGCGTAAGTTCACGTATACCTAACCTTTGTTCCGGACACCCTTAGCTTACATATTGCAAATCTGGCGTCGCGAATGGTAGCTCCGTTACTCTTGTAGTTATTACCGTGATGTCGCGCCACTGCTGAGAATGTGTGAACAATAAGTTTTCTATTACATATCTATATCAAGAGCTAATTAATACCTAGGTATTAAATTAATTAATTAATTAATTAATATGGTATATTAGCATCTTGCATAGTATATATATATATATTCAGGAAGTAGATAATAGGGTTCCTATCTATCTACTTCTGATATATATATATATATATGCGTGAATATTGCCAATTACAGGCGGGAATGGTTTAAATAAACGGAACGGTAACAACAATCTATTATTTTTCTCTTACATTATCATGTAATATATATATATGCTTTGGCCTGAGAGCCTTGTGTACATTTTGCTAGAGTGTGTATCTTTCATCCGGAACGTGAAACGTGGATGACATTAATTTAACATCTACTACTGCTGATGGCGTTTGCGGCATCGTGTGCCCTGCATCCTAAATGAAACCCAGGTTTGTCTTCTTTCAATGTTTTATTCGTATTTTGTTTGCCGCAGACTGTCGGGGCATTGGGAGAGGGGTACGGATCTAAGCCGGCCTATTACTATGGTTACCTGCACAAACATACAACGACGACGCATTCTCCGTACGTCTACTTCAAACGACACACCATTCCCTACGAGGACCTGTACGAGTCTACCTACACCGACCACTACGTCTTCCACACCCCAACTCCAACCTGCCACGGATACAACTGCGACAATAACAATAAGGGCAGTGGAGGGTACGGCTCCAGCGGCAGCTCTGGCAGCAAACATGGAGGAAGCGGCGGCGGTTACGCAAGCAGCAGCGGCGGAAGCGGATACGGAAGCAGCAGCGGCGATACCGGAAGCAGCAGCAGCGGCGGAAATCGTCACCGAGGCAGCAGCGGCGGCGGCAGTGGGTACGGTAGTCGCAGCAGCGGAAGCGGATACGGAAGCAACAGCGTTGGAAGTCGGTACGGAAGCAGCAATTCTGGCGGGAGTGGATACGGTAGTCGTAACACCAACAGACACGGTGGGGGTAGCAACAGACACGGTGGGGGTAGCAGCAGCGGTGGATACGGTGGGGGTAACAACAACAACAACAGATACGGTGGTAGTAGCAGCAGCGGTGGATACGGTGGGGGTAGCAGGGGAAGCAGTGGATACGGTGGTGGTAGCAGCAGCGGTGGATACGGTGGTGGTAGCAGCAGCGGTGGATACAGTGGGGGTAGCAGGGGCAGCGGTGGATACGGTGGTGGTAGCAGCGGCAGCAGTGGATACGGTGGTGGTAGCAGGGGCAGCAGTGGATACGGTGGTGGTAGCAGCGGCAGCAGTGGATATGGTGGTGGTAGCAGCGGCCTTGGCGGTTTCAACAGCAACTTCGGTAACCTTAACGGCGGCTTCGGTAGCAGTGGCTTCGGTAGCAGTGGCTTTGGTAGCAGTGGCTTTGGTAACAGTGGTTTCGGTAGCGGCAGTGGTGGTTATGGTGGCGGTAGCGGTAGCGGATTCGGATTTGGAAGCAATAACCTTGGCAGCAGCTTTGGAAACGTTGGTAGCGGAAAGGGTAACAGTGGAGGCGGCTACAGCAATCAAAACACTAGCAGGGGTCGCAGCCACGGTGGAAACAGCGGTGGCTATGGGCGTAATCAAAGCAATAGACGTGGCGGGTACGGCCAATCGCGAAGGGGTTACGGACATTAATTTCACTGCGATGATTTCAATATAATTGTGAATATTTTGTTTTCGTTGAAAGATATCGAACGGGTATAGCTTATCTGTGCTTCGCCGTGAATAATGCTCTCTTCGTTTGCGTTATACCTACGAGTTGTACATGTGTTTGTTGTTAGCCTTGTACTTTTTTAAAGGTCATGTTGTTATCATGTAAACATCCAATTCGTAATTCATATACTTTTGTCATTTGTCTTATTAGCAAAGTGTCAACGTGCGGCATAGGTGTTGACGATCATGTGTTACTATATAACATTTCATTTCCATTGATATTTTATCGACGTTCGTGTATCGCTAATATAAGAACTATATTTTACTCATAATGTTTTTGATATGAAGTGGGGGCTTAAACTTTAAACCTAAAACACAAGTACACGTTCCTAGTAAATTACGTACTCATTACCGTAGGATGAAGAATCATTTGTATTTATTACATTCACCGTAGATTTATATTATTACAGGACTACATCCATTATTTATTGTAAATTTGTTCCAAAAATTAATACAACAAACTTGGCACAATTATGAATTTCAAATAAATGATAATTGGTTCTAAAATGCTGTTCAATGTTCTCACTATCTTTTTCTGTGTAACACGTATAAGCACACATGCATGCGTTTTTAGATCATAGTTCTCTATGATGAACATTCACTTGCTAATTCTTCGATTTCCCTCTCGTCATCGAACATTCCTCTACCACTGAGCAAGAGCTAAGTGAATAAGGACAGTCATGGATCCCGGGTAGGAAGCGGGTAGGCTTCATGTGGTTCGTGATGAGCCTATAATTCGGTTATGATGAGTTTGTGATGGTTCGTGATAAGCCTAAGAATCGGTTATGCAATACAATAGACGTCCAGTTGCCCGTTGCCCTCCCCTCCCCCTCCCCTTCTCTGGCCCAGTTGCCCAGCCCCTTCACAGGCTATCTCAAATTTCGCAGACTTACTGAGATACCAATTCAGATATTATCTATATCAGATACCAGTTTAGATTCAGGGGCCATTACCGCCGGGGATCTTGACTTTATTACATCATAAGTTTTCACCAATATCAGAGGTCGTGTCATGCAGGTGCTTGGTTAATGAGATGACCGCGTTACTGAAATTTATCTGGAAAGCCAATCCACAATGATAATTTTTTTATGTCAGTCTACTCGTGAGTATATATATATATGCTAATTTTAGCAAATGCTAGGGTTGCATGCGTATTGCATATATCTGACCATATTATAGCGTCTTTGAGTATATATATAGTAGGAAGGCGGTAAATCTTCCAAACCTTCTTAAAATATTAGATAATCGATCAAAAATAAAGTTGATTGATAAAGTTAGACTCAGACGTGTCAGTGCGCATGCCTGCTATCTGCTAATACAAATTACATTTTATTACAATTATGCATTTAAAATGGAGAGGACATAATATATTCCAGAATGGAATTTCCAGAACAGCCACATCTTCTCAACATCCCGTACATTTATCGTTGCCGTTGGTCGGCGCTAGTGTCGCGCATGAGAAGTAATGTATAATGCAGCATTTAATGCTAAACAAAAAATATTTAGATATAATTTGGCTAAAAACATACATTTGTAGTGAGCATACGTCACGGGACTGATGCGCTTGTTTAAGAAAATGTTTTCAGCGAGCGCGCTAACTCCTTGATTTTTATTGGTTCATTATCGGTACGAACTTGTCACATGACAATAACAATAGAAGTGGCGCTGATGATCAAATACGCGAAAGCACAAGGTAGCAAAATTTATTTTGGAAATCAGTGTTTTTAGAAGTACGAAATCAGTCGATTTACGTCAACTGTATCATGTTATGTACCATGTAAATGTAATTTGAGGTAATTCAACTAAACTAAATGTCGGAGAACTGCTTAAACTGCACGTTAGTGCGGCTACAGAGCATAGGAAGAGGCACGTTGGAAAGGGCTCAACGCCGTGGCCAGGTAAAACTGATCAACAAAACAGGAAGACCAAATTATATAACTATATTATAAGATAGATAGGGATAGATCATAGGGAAAGACACACAGACACGCACGCACGCACACACGCAGACATACACATGCAGACACACGCGCACTCACTCACGCACGAATACACACGCAGACTGTCAAGACATACACATCAAGACATGCAGACACACGCGCAGACATACAGGCACATGCATACACACACATGCAGACACGCACGCACGCACGCACGCACACTTGAATGAACAACTGTCTATAAAGGACTCTGTTTATTTCCCTCGAATGGCAGTTACAATAATGAAATCACTTCTATAGCACAAACCTGTTTATACAGGAGACCTTTTGAGTTTCACTTGAGTAGTACTCTTATGTACAGGTTTAGCATATATATATAATGTATATTTTAACATAAATATATACAGATTAATGAAATGTAGTTATGAGTTCATGTGTTTGCTTGTGTGTTATCCATGTAGGTATATGCTACCCCTGTGAGTGTCACTGTCCAGCCCTGTTGCAGCACATTATATCCTAAGGAGAGAAAGTGTCTCCCGATATCCGTGAATTCTAACAAGGCTGACACAGAATCAAAAGGTATGTGTAACATCCATGGAGCTTACTTTTTAGTTTTAGCCTAATTTAATCTAGAACTGGGTTTACACTGACGATTTTGTGTTGCCGGATTGCCAAATTGTACAAACTTGGCCAGTTGGCAACTGACAATCGGCAGTGTAAACGCAAAAGTCGGACGACCAACCGATCGGGCGCAGCGAGTTGGGAAATTAGAACATATTCTAATTTCGCCGACTCGGAGCAGTTGAGTCGGACGTTTTTTTGCCAAGTGGCCAATCAGAGAACAGCAATCAGGAGGTGTGTGCCTCCACCCTAGGGAGGAGAGCACGTTTTTGCTATCGGCGCCACGCTGGCAGCGTGGAATACATGCAAAAATTCGTATCGACGTCACCCCGCGCGTACCTACGGGTCAAATGTTGAAACGTTTGCTGCCTCACGGTCGATAACGTAAGCGCCTTGAATATTTAGAGAGAGGTTGGTAGAAAGAAGAAAAACGCCAAGTCGTCTGCATAAAATCGGCCTAAAATTGTCAGTGTAAACCCAGCTTAATTCATACACCCTTACCAGCCAATTGAAAAGGCATCATTTTTGGAAGTCTGTCCGTGAGTGACTGGATATATGCTTCAATACATTGATGCAATCTGTATTATTTTTGCTCTGAACAAGCTGCACACTATATTTATTGCCTCATTCAGTGCTCGCAAGGGTGCAATAATGGATTACCTACAGTTATATGCACCATTATGCTAGCCGCACACTATCCGACCCGAGCGTGATTTGAAGGCTTACGATTGGATATACGCGTGCGGTACGGCGTGGCAGACGAGAGAGCGTTGATGACGGGCCATGGTCTTGTTACCGCTTGTTACGGCGCGATCGGCAGTAAATCACCCTGCAGACGAGCCAGCACGACAAACAGCCCCGGGGGCATTGTCGGAGATATTGTGTGTGCGCATGCAGTCGAACTCGTCGAATTGACCGGGAAGTGTCGTGTCAAATCACGTGACTAACTGACCGCCAGGTCACATATATCGGCGCTATTGAAATACCCTATAAAAGGTGCGAGCAAACAAAGCTGGCAATCACTATACCCAAGCGTCCGTGCATCCTTTATTTGACGCGACTCATTGAAGAAATAGATAAAAAGCTGCGTATACTAAGAGGTAAGAACAGCTGATATAATTATACATTTTTAGCAACTCGTATATAATCGAATCAATTTACGCATTCGTTAGGCATGCGCGCATGCACGCACACCTACGTGTGTACGTACACGCATAAGTATATTGTATTTATTTTATTATTATTGTATTAATTAGTGAACCATTTATTCGGGTGTTTCATTTACGGTCAATTGCAACAGTAGTATTTACTCATGCAAGGCAGCGCAAATATGCTTATATACATATGTATCATCGTTCTACTATATTATTATATTATATTACTAATAATTATTATATATATTTATAAATTTTTTATTATATTATTACTCTATATTTATCTACTTATCGGACTTCTGTGTGTGATGATATGGTGGAGGTGGGAGGAGGGAGGAGGGGAGGGGGAGGGGGTGACCTTCCGTGAGAATCAGGAAACACAGCGCGCTGCTTTGACTTGCGCGTCTCGTACACTCACGCAGAAAGTCTCACGTCGCTGTGAACGGAGCGCCCTGCTCCCTCCCCTTGACGGGTCACGTTAGCAACTAACTTCTACCACGACGCGTTTCCACGCGGGGCAAGCGCGTGTAACGGCGCCGTGTGTGCGTGTGTGTGTATGTGTGCGTGCGTGTGTGCGTGCGCGTGTTACGGCGCGGTGCGTGTGTGTGTGCAAGTGTGTGCGCGCGTGTAACGGCGCCGTGCGCGCGCGCGCGCGCGCGTGTGTGTGTGTGTGTGTGTGTGTGTGTGTGTGTGCGCGTGTTTGTGTGTGTGAGTGCGTAGTAGGTTCGTACGTGGATGGTTGCGGGTGCGGGTGGTAGGGGGGTGGGGTGCTGAGCTCCATCGATGTTTTGTGTGCGGAAGTTACAACACTTTACGCGCGCGTCAGGTTTGTTTCCTATCACCTCGCTCCTGTCCGGTTAATCGGCCATGCGTCAAGGCGCGGGGTGGCCGTAGCGCGGGACGCCGTCGTAAAAACGGGGCCGTGAAAGTCTGGCGAGTGTGACGGGCTGCTGAGAGGAAGGGGAGGGGGTAGGGGGAGGGATGGGGTAGTGGGAGTGGGAGAGATGCACGGCAGATTCCGCTAATGCTGTAAACGCTCGTGACATCGCCTGAACTTTGTTGCACGCGGGGGCATGCGCGCTAGAGAGAGAGAGCGAGAGCGAGAGAGAGAAAGAGAGAGCAAGAGAAATAAGGAGAGAGAGAGAGAAGAGAGAGAGAGAGAGAGAGAGAGAGAGGAGGAAGAAGAGAGAGAGAGAGAGAGAGAGAGAGAGAGAGAGAGAGAGGAGGAGAGAGAGGAGGGGAAGGGGAGAGGAGGAGGAGGAGAGAGAGA